GTGCCTAAGGTGGCCGAGGTTTTGGTTGGAGATTCGGTCTTGCATCGTGCCATCGCGACCCTGTCCCGTTTGTCGATTTGCTCGCGGACATAAGTCCTTATGTCCGGAACGGGGGTTTGTTTAGGCCTAATCGTAACGCATTAAAACTTGCATTCAAAACCGGTTTGACGGCTTGGGCCGGCCGGCGCTCGTTTTGCACGCGGCAGCCACGCCCTAAGCAGTCTAGAAAAAGTATGGTCGCGCGACGGCCGCTAGGCCGGGCTGTTAATTGTTATGAGAAGTTAATATGGAACCTTTGTGTCGCGTGCCTCTTATGAGTTGTCTTAATTTGTACGGTTCGTGGCAACGAGGCTGAATTTTGAGTTTTGAGTGATTATCTGATAGACGTCGGGAAAAATTGATTGTGCGCGATCGCCGGGTCGGTCTGAAGTTACGTGATAATTAGTGATTAACCCGAGAGAGTCTTGTTCGTGTTCGATAAATAATTTGGGTAGTGAACATGGAACGTTGAACTTTGACCGACCGTTCTTTGGTTGTGCCGCGTGTCACATGTTGGATTTCGATTAACGTGGATTTTGTTGAATTTGAGTGATTGCCTGTTGAAGTGCATTTGACAATATTAATTTTGCTCGTGTGGCATTTGTTATAGTTCGGAGACATTTTCCTTTGTCGGTTAAAACGCTAGAACTTTGTGAACCGCGAGAAACAGCGTTCGTATTAGATTATAGATTTGTGCTAAGTGACGCTAGACTTGAGTGACATCGAGGTGACGCCGCTGGAGTGATACCACATCGTGGGGCGGTGCCGGGTGTCAGGGTTGCTACCGATTATTTAATCGGCAGCAACCCTGACACCCTGCGCCGCATATGTAACCTGACGTAACCCATTTGGGTTACGTCAGGTTACATATACACACTTTTTAACACAAACTTACAAGCACATACTTAACGCTTGACCGCGCCTTGGGGTCGGTCCTCGATTCGGAACCCGGTAAGTTCGTATTAATTACCTAGCCTTATATACTATATATCCATACGCCATTTGGGCCCGAACTCTCTGGTTGCTCGTCGAGTGCATTACTGATGAGCCCCAATACAGTCGACTTCTGTCTGGGCAACTGAGAGCCGTAACACCTAACATTAAATAATATTTAACATTTGTAAATATCAATTAATCATAAACCTTATTTTTTCCGAAATAAGGTTCTTGATTGTTTGATATTTACAAATGTTATTATTAGGTAAAAATTTAATTTAATAAAAACCAAGGTTTTCAAGGGTGATTTAGCTGTACCTACTTAAATAAATGATTTTTATAAAACAAAAAATAGTACAAAAGGTTTGTAATCTCTGCATGAAAAACGTCACTTACTCTCAATTTCAAAGAAAACACGTAGAAAAACATGTAGCTACCCACTAAAAACAAGTATTCTTCCGTTTGTAACTGATGTTTGATGTCAACTAAACTGTGCCGGACGGGCGAAGCTCTCCGGAGAAAAATGCTGACGGAGATACTCCGCGATCAGCGAGTCGCTCACTTCCTACACCTACAGGTTCCGGAGGATACTTCTACTGACGTCTTTGTGGGTGCTGCTGGGATACTGTGGACTGAGGTTCAAAATTAAAATGAACAGTCAATACAGTCGCTCATACTGTATCTTTGCGACACTTATTTTTTATAGAATACGGGTGATAAACGAGCACACAGTCCACCTGATGACACAAGTGCAAGCTGTGGCCCTCAGACATCTTCATAATGCTCGTTTAGGAATCAAAGTGTAGATGCGTTGTCACCTCTGAGGACTCAGACGGAATGGCGCACAGCCTGGAGTTATACTCGCTCTCTACAACCTGCAGAGCGGAACACTGCAGTGCAAGCGCTGCTGTGTCGCGGCACACATTGGTAAGAGCGGGTGCTTAGCTGACGAACTGCTAAAAAGCAAACAAGTCCTATCGTGGTAAAAAGTTAGTTTCGCGCTTGCACCCAGCCGTGACGCACGCGTCATTTCAGAGTGTAATTATCGGTATGAACGACAAATTGGTCGTAATGTCGGATACGTTGAAGTATTAATACCAAAATTATACCAACATCTTATATTAATCGCCAGGTTATATGGGGCAAGAGGTCCAAACGTCAAAGAGATGTGTACAGTTACGAGTGCCACAGAAAGTTAAGACAATTAGATTTCACGTCAGAATTTAGGTAATGTGCTGATAGATGTTGTACAGAGATAAAGCACAGATTTATAATTGATAAATTGTTTAACGACATACTCTCTGACCTAAGTGAGGCCGCAATTGCTAGTCGAGAGTATAAGAAACATAGCACCAAAAACGCGTTGTAGATAGAATAGATATTGTTGTGGATTATAATCTTCCTGCTTCTTATCCGGCGGCGAAGGACCAAGTTTTTGTTGTGGATCGAAGTGGACTGTATTAATTTACTTTGCAAGTGGACTGTATGAACTGACTACGCTAGGGAACTGCTTAAAGAAAAGATGGTACTAAGAAACTATACTGTATTCACTATTTACAAATGTGGCACTATAAACTATACTATGTACAGAGGGGAGTCTTCTGGATTTCTCTGGAGTCTTGATTTCTTCTTGCTTCTTCTAGTGCCACCTCCGAAGTGAAAATGAACAGCTCACAGACCAAAACGCCCTTCTTATATCCCGCAAGAGAGCGTCTCGGTTCGTGAGTAGCGCCGTAAGGCGATGCCACGTGCTGATTGGTCGGCGACATCGCGTGATCTGCTGCCGGTGTGCGGGGTGCGCGGGGCGCACCGGGGTGTGAAGGGGCGACGGGGCGGCGGCCTCCTCACTGTCCGCTACATCCTCCCCCCAGCGTAGCCTGCGAGCCTAATCTTCCTCGGGAGGACGGCGATCCTAACAGGCCGCCGCAGCACTCCGCCCTTGGTCCCGACCAACCTCTTGTATCTCTATTGAAAGAACTGACCACCTGGTGATTACTGAAGTTAAACATTAAATTATAAGCTTTTAAGCAATGTGCAGTAATACATAAAATATGAATATTGTTGCTATATAAGAACAACTCAATGTCTAGCTCTTTGCCTATCATGCCTTGTATATTTTGATGCACCAGTTGAAAACAATTTTCATTATCTTTCTGTGGAGTCATACAATTAAAGATTTTTAAGCCACATTCTAAATTATTTAAGTTATTATAACTGCTAGAGATTACCTCTATTGTCTCATTTTCTAATTTAAATTACTTGGAACTGATTCCAAATTGCATATTAAGTCATTACACTGCTCAAAAGAAGCAGATGTCTGTGTAGCCAAGTCCTTGGCTGAGTTAATATATAAATAATAAAATAGCACATTTGCTATCTGTCTTAAATTATATTTTAATAGGTAATACCTATCTCTAGTCAAAAATTTCTTAATTAATTAATTTATATCTATTAAATAAATCGATCATTATAATTGTAACAATTAAATGTCAAGTTTAAATTATTATTACATGAAAAGTTATTCATTAATAAATTTAAATCATATCTTATTTTCCTGCGGCCAACCCTGTATGTAAGGCAATGTAAACAAGATAATAATAATAATAATAATTCTTTATTATCCAAAATAAATCACAAGAAATTTTATGAAGTCTCTGACTCCTAAACTAGACGAGTCTGTATCTTAGGAATCAGCGGCCTCTCCCAGAGTTGTACTAAAAGAACGGGTAATACTAAAAGAACTATGCATGTTTTCATTGTTGAAACAAAAGAAAAGTAAACAACTTTACAAATTTAACAAATTTACAAAAATTAAATCAAAAAATAATAAAAGTTGTAATATAATAAAGTAGTAAAATGTTCCTACTTTGCTCCTATACGGTTAATTATGCTCCAATTCTCATAAATGTTTTATCGCTTAATATGTCCAAATCGGCGCAACATTTCGTTTAATTGTGAACGCATCCGAAAAATTTTACTAATAAGTGGCAACACAGAACTGGTAAATTTTTCATCCGCCATTTTTTTCTCATGTCAGGTGCAGCTGTAGTGTAAGACAATAAAGGTTATTTTTTTTGTATCCGAAAAAGCCACTTCCATCTTGAAATCTGCATAGCGCATTAAGGTAATTATGTTCTAATGTTATTGTGTATATAATCGGGTAAACGAATACGTAAATATATCATTGAATTGCTGAGTTTGTCATAATCTAACCCCACTTTTTTGGCATGCTCATATTTTCTTTGGTACGATAAGGTAACTTTGCGCCTGGAGCAAAGTAAACCCAAACATAATCCCTACAAAAGTAAACATAGTTTATTCATTGTAAGTGGTTATTAATACACTTTTTATCAAAGAAATTACTATTTATTTTCAGAAAAGATGCCAAGAAATTATAAAAAACGTATAGGGTCGAGAAATTATAAAAATTACAGCGCCGAAACTTTAAGACAATGTTTGGCTTCCATAGAAAATAAAGAAATAACGCAAAGAAAAGCTAGTGAAAAGTATGGCATCCCACGCAGAACCATTATTAATCAGTTAAGACTCCTACGATCTAAAATGCCATCTCGACCTCCAGGCGCACCAACAACATTTTCAAGTGAAGAAGAAGCCTTATTTGTCGACTGCATTTTAAGGCTGAGCGAGTACGGCTTTCCTCTCACAATTTTCGATCTTCGCATTGTTATTAGAACATATTTGGAGAAAATTGGTCGGAGTTACAAAATTTAAAAATAATTGTCCAGGTACTGAATGGGTGTCAAGTTTCCTAAAAAGACATTCATGTTTATCACAAAGATTTGCGACCAACATTAAACGCAACAGAGCAGCCATTGACAAGGAAACCATCACTGCCTACATAGAAAACTTGAAAGAGGTGGTTAGAGACATACCGCCCGAAAATTTATGGAATTTTGATGAGACTAATTTATCCGACGACCCTGGTAAAAAAAAAAGTAATAGCGAAGCGAGGTGCAAAATACCCTGAACTTATAAGTAATACCTCCAAAAGCTCAACTTCTATCATGTTTTGTGGTAGTGCTAAGGGAGAATTATTACCGCCGTATATTGTCTATAAATCTAAGCAACTATGGAATACATGGACGGAACAAGGGCCAAAAGATGCCAGATTTAACAATAGCCCATCAGGTTGGTTTGACATGAATATATTTAACGATTGGTTTTTTACACAAATTTTGCCAATATTAAAGAAACAAGAGGGTCCGAAAGTTATAATAGGAGATAACTTGTCATCTCACATTTCTGTAGACGTCCTAAATGCTTGTGACAAAAATAATATTAGATTTGTTTGTTTGCCACCTAATAGCACTCATCTAACTCAGCCGTTAGATGTTGCCTTTTTCCACCCAATGAAGGTAGCATGGAGAAAAATCCTGACCGAGTGGAAGGCGAGTGTTCAAGGTAGGCGAGAGCAAGTACTCCAAAAAAGCAGTTTCCCAGTTCTGTTAAACCGACTCATTGATATTTTGGAACCGACGCGAGAGGTAAACCTCGTTTCAGGTTTTCGGAAATGTGGAATTTATCCGGTTGATGCCAATCCATTATTAGAGAGGTTGCCTACAACTGTTGACAAGACTGCTTTGCAAGACTCTTTTCTGCAGAGTCTTGAAGCTAAGAGGCTAGAATGGACGACAAATGGAACTACAAGAGGACGTCGCAGGAAACTACACATCACTCCTGGAAAAAGTGTAACTGAAGAATTAAGCACACTTTTGGATGATAAAGAAAATGAAGAGTTGGCTCAACCGTCAACTTCAAAGATACCATGTCGCCGCAGAGCCAGTAGTGAAAGCTCTTACGCAGAAAGTAACGACATGTCAGTTCATGATTCTTCCGATCTAGGTTCTCTTGGAGATTTAGAAAATCTTGAAGCTAATACTGATACAGCGGCCGAAACTTGTAATGAAAATTGCAATTTCAAACCAATTGTGAAGGCGATCGGGCAATATGTAGTCTTCACGTATGAGGAGGAAATTTTTCCTGGTAAAATCACAAAAATAACTAAAGAAGGGCCGTATATCTCTTCAATGAAGAGGTCACTAAAATCCTGGACGTGGCCTAAACCCGTCGATGAAATTCAATACAATTGGCAGGATATATTGGGATGTATTGAAGTCCCTAAAAAAATTAGTACCCGCCGTGAAATATATTCCGTCCCTGAACTAGACCAAACTTGGGGTTTTTAAATATATCAAGTTTAAAAATGTTGAAGTTTCATAAATACTTTTAGATGTAAATTTTCATTTTTGAGAAGTGTATCTCGTTAGTTTATTTTTGATTGATTTTTGTCCAAAGACTAAACATTTGTAACCAAAGTTACTAGTTAAGATAGCAGTGACTATTATAATTTAAGAATATAAAAAAAACCAATGATACAAAGTGATTTTGTAACTAAATTTAAGTATATAACACTATTTCTTTAAAAAACACGGTTTTTTTTTAATTTTCACCCATTTTTCGACCATTGATACTATCAAAAAAGGTAAAGAGTAATTTCACGGGAGCAAAGTTTGAATAAGGAAAGTATAACTTTCCTAACAAAGCTTCCACAATGGAGATTGCTTGTGAAATATACACAGGCGCAAAGTTACCCATAGTCATGGGTAACTTTGCGCCTTGTTCGTAGTTTTATATATATTATAAAATACTTAATTATGTTGATTTAACTTTAAAAATATGTTAGATAACATGTTGTGCTTCAAATTAATACATCTAAGTATATTTCATAACTAATAGTTTAAACAATATTCGTAATTTCCTTTTTTTGGAGCAAATATTGGAGCAAAGTAGGACCATTCTACTTCTATATGTGTTATATTTAATACTAAACATCTATACTATACATATATTTAATATACATATATGTAGGAAGTATAGTGGGTATAGTACAGAGACTGATTTTGTAGTTAGGAATAATAATTAATTCGTTTACACGAATTAATTATCCAACGAGTCGAGGATAAACTAGTAACGCAATACGACAAGCGCACCGTTCCACGTCAGAGCCAAGACTGTCTTAACGGCGGCCGCTCAGTCCGTTTTATACAAGCAGGACGGGCGGCCGCGCAAGTGCAATGCCGCAGGTGTGCGGTACACGTGTCGTTTACAAGAATTCTGCCTAGCTAGACCAACGCCACCGCATCTACAACGGTGCAGGTGCCGTCACGGCCATACTGACATGCGTGCGTCCTCGCACGCGCTCCATCACAATTTTAGTTATCTGTAACAACTGTAATCTGTAAAACATCGTTCGATTATCCTGACAAAACAGCGTCTGGTCCGGTCTATATTGACCCTTCAGACTCGGGTGACAGTCAGTTTTGTTCCGGCAATAAGCCCTACAAAACTTTAATCATCTTTATGTTAGATCGGAATGATTCGTCTGTAGCCTTTTCTATTTTCTCTCTTTTTTTTTTTTCAAGTACTGTTTTCGCTAGTCCGGAATAACTATTCCCTATAGCCATATCATTGGACCGGCACAAAGCCCTGCAATGATAGTAAGAACTATTTTTTTCTTACGCTTTTTTTTTTTCAAGTACTATTTATGCTAGTCCGGAATCACTATTCCCTTTAGCTATATCATTGGACCGGCAAACGCCCTGCAATGATAGTAAGAACCACATTTTTTTTTCTTACTCTCTTTTTTTTCAATTCAGTATAGAACAGTTACAGACCAACCATACCGCAAACATGTCCCCGTTACAATCACACAAAAGTGTATCGTGAGGGGCGTAGTGACACGATAACACCTAAGTATGTAAACCAACAGCAACTCGACACATATCCCAGTGCAGCACAGACCAGCCTCCCTGCAACTTCATGTTCCTTTCCTGCACTAGAATAATTACTTCGCTAGAGTATTGCAACGTCTCTAGTATTTTCTAGATGCACAGACACTGCTACCTCTGACTGTCGCACATCCTCGTGCGGTTGACAGTGAACAGCATACGGTCTATCGGTTATCACCACCTGCTAACAGATATTACCTCTTGTTAAATATTACAACGGTCGAACATCCCAGACCCCAGACTTCATTTAAGTCTGGAACGCGCCGATATGGCTACCTCCAGACAAACGCACTACAGCTTTTCGTTCTGCTGCGTTCGTGCCACATTCGCGCCAGCAAGCAGTCGCGCCGTACTAGCGCTAGCGAATCGTAACACTGCTTTGCAAAATTAAAAGAAATCGAGATAAGTGTATTGCGAACCATGGAATTCCGAGCTTCCAAAATTCATCACATATTCTCTTAAGAAACGGCAACTGTATGACATTTGAAAACATTGCAAAAAACGGAAACTATGTGTAGAGACGGATAACATCACATATTTCAAAGGGAAGGAGGCAACTGCGCAAAATCTACGAAAGCCGACCAAGCCTCAGACGTTCATTTACAGCACCAAAGGACCATGTGTTCGGCGGCCGCTTGAATTGTCTTGCCGTAAGATCTGCCGATAAGTTACAGACTGTAGCGGTGTAGGCTCAATCTTACTAGCGCTCGGCCGTACCTGACCATGTTCGATTAGCCGTCACAACATCTTCCTCATTGATCATTGTTGTAGAGACTTCTACGAATCTCTCGACATCAAACCCCAATCTTGTCGACCATAAAGTATTGCAGCAAACTGCAACACTGATCAACACATTAGAACACAAAATGTCACTTATTATTTTTAATTCATAGCGTGTTAAAGTTAATCCTTTATTGTAGTACAACCTTTAAAAGTTTTGAACTTCAAAATATAGCAAATGATAATCATGCTTCGCGTGAACTATCAAATTACAACAAAACGAGAGCAGCAGGAGCACCTGAGGGTTTACAAGCATCGTCGGGGTTGTAGTCATCATGATCTGCATGAAAAACAAATTGTTAACTATAAGGACAACATACACAGTTGCCTGTTCTCTCATCTATCACACATACGAGGCCCTAAAACAGAAATTCGTTCTCATACCTTGGACTATAATAAAGCACTTCGCTTTCACAAGTAAACATAGGTCTTCATACGAAGTATCTGACACATACTCTTACTTGAACTTGCGAGATCCCACGTTAACTACGTGAACCACATTAAAAACGTGAACCAAGACAGCGCCTGCCAGGACAGAGCCTAATAAATGTTCAGAAAACATTACCGTGCACACAGCATACGACTTCCGCGCACACAGTGTGACTCCCACGCATACAGTTACACGACTTCCGAGGCATCGCCATGTACAGCATACGCGCGCTCCGGGATGGCGCCTGCGTATACGCGCATACGCATCTGCCGAAACCAGGCCATGTTACAGCTGGACCTGGCAGTCCGTTACGACCAGCAGGGCACACACTCACGCACTTGTAATCACATCACACGTGCTACTGTAACACATAAAAGAAAACATTAAAAATACTCAGTCGGAACTTGATTTCAAGAAATGCAGCACTACTCTTGGTACACCATTCGCCTTTCTAGAGCACCAAATACTGAGCTGCGGCTACACGACAACCTCTGGTATGGTCCAATCCTCATGTAAACTTAAATACTCTCTTCAATGTCAGAACTAATTGGCTCTACTTCACTTTCATCAGTTATACTTCGGTTTTCCGGCATTTTTCGCAACCAATTAAAAATGTAAACACTCATTCTTACAAAATAGTTTCTGAGCCAATGTTTAGGATAAATTTACTTTCCTCATGTATCTAATGGTGATCAGTAGCAGCGACAAATAATAAGTCCGCGGCGTCATAAGCCGACAGCATACTCAAAAGCGAGCGCTACAGCTCCACGCTTTCCACTAAACCATTCCAAGTTTGTCGACTACGTAATGCTCGGAGTAAACTGTAACACTTATCATCACATTAGATCACAAAAATACTACTTAGTGTTTTTAAGTCATAGCACGTTAAAGTAATCATGTTCTTTTTTCGGTACATCGTTTAAACATTTTGAACTTTAAAACTAGGCCATGTAAATCACACCTCGTGTATCAAATTATAACATTACTTAAGCAAGTTAAACTTCCACTGAATGCAAACTATAACTCATTCAGAATATCTCCAACATTTCTTTCATTTGTTAACATATTTAGGTACGTCCGAAATAATAAAAATACTTGAGGGTACTTTTAATACAAATCGAACAAAAGGATTTATCTTTTGCCTTAAATAATTTCACTTTATCTTTTCTCTACACTTTAATGATACGACAATATCGTAAGTAGTACAGCAAATTTTATTACGATATTTAACATAAAAAGAGATCCATCAATGCGAAATGCATTATAGCCTTTACAAATGTAATCATTCTCATACTATTCAAAGATTGTATGTGGGCAAAAATGGGGACTTTATCCCACTTCTGATGTAGGAAGTATAGTGGGTATAGTACAGAGACTGATTTTGTAGTTAGGAATAATAATTAATTCGTTTACACGAATTAATTATCCAACGAGTCGAGGATAAACTAGTAACGCAATACGACAAGCGCACCGTTCCACGTCAGAGCCAAGACTGTCTTAACGGCGGCCGCTCAGTCCGTTTTATACAAGCAGGACGGGCGGCCGCGCAAGTGCAATGCCGCAGGTGTGCGGTACACGTGTCGTTTACAAGAATTCTGCCTAGCTAGACCAACGCCACCGCATCTACAACGGTGCAGGTGCCGTCATATATACAAGACGAGCACACACATATATATGTGTATATATACTTATATAATTATCAAATATATATATATATATATATATATATATATATATATATATATATATATATATATATATACATATACATATATAAATATTAAAGTTCATATATAAATTATGCATAAACATAAACGAAACGTTAATATTAATTGTCCACACATTAATCACTTCCCTGTTTTTGTTTATTTATTTATTTTGAAACTATAAATTAAATTAATAAATTAAATTAAATCAAATCAAATTAATAAATCAAATCAAATTAATAAATCAAATTAAATTAATAAATTTTCTGTTTTATTGTAATCTAATGACAACAACCAATCACGAACTCTAATTTTACACTCGTGTTTTGAAAGAGGATAGAAATTTAGAATTTTGTTAAGTTTGTTATAGAGTACTATAGAGATATGCGCTTTGTCGTCTAGCAAAAACAGTGCGGCATCTAAACGGTGTCAGTACGTTGGGTATTCTACGTTTATTGCGACAGATCTCAGGGTCGTAGGGA